CCTGCTGGCCCCATAGAGAAGCAATTCTTTTTTTTTTTTTTTTTAATGAAAATGAACTTAAATCCCACTTTATTAGATCTGCATAGTGGATTTGTTTTTAAATTGCTTACAAACATTTGGATATTAGGGTATTTCACACACCAATAATAATTTTTTAAAAATCACACTTAAAAAAATGGGAAGATCTGCAACTGGGTGAGCATTCTTGCATGTTAACAAGGGGCTGGCAGTAAGTACACATTGTTCCTTTTGAATGAGGCATGGATTCTCAGTTTCAGTTAGTCCTCACCATAGATTCCCATTTGATGCGTTTTTAAATGTATAATCACTCTCTCTGTAGTAGAATATTTCTCTTTTTTTGATGTTTTATTTTATTTATTTATTTAAAATTTAAAAAAAAATTTTATGCATTCAATCATATTATTTAGCTCACAAAGTGAACATTTCAATATGTGGACATTTCTCCCCACTCCAGTTGGTCAAAATATCTTCAAAAGATATCACCACTACCTCCTCGTTCCATCAATGCTTTGTCTCCATATTGCTCCTCCAAATGTCCTTCCTCTACACACACCACACTCCTCCACACACACCACATCTGGCATTCACACCTTTCTCTTGTGTTTGTATATCCTTTAGTCAATCAGTTTCAGTCATAGAGTATGGACACTTGGTATATATTAAGTGGGGACATACAATGTCTCTCCTCCATAGCCTGGCTTGCTTCACTCAGCAGTAAATCTTCCCTATTCTTCCACTTTCTGTCAAAAGCCAGTTTTTTTTTTCTTTTTTGTGACTGAATAGTATTCCATAGAGTATATATGTGCCACAGTTTTTCAATCCATTCATCTGTACGTGGGCATTTGAGTTGGTTCCATGTCTTAGCAATCGTGAATAGTGCCGCAATGAACATTGATGTGCAAGCACTTTTCCAATGAAGAATTCTTCTGTCCTTTGGGTAGATACCAAGGAGTGGGATGGCTGGATCATATGGTAGTTCTATTTGTAGATTTTTGAGAAATCACCAAATTGTTCTTCACAGTGGCTGTACTAATTTACATTCCCACCAGCAATGTAAGAGAGTTCTCCTTTCACCACATCCCTGCCAACACTTATCTTTTTTTCTTTTTTTTTAATCTTAGCCATTCTGACTGGGGTTAGGTGGTATCTCATTGTTGTTTTGATCTGCATTTCCCTTACGATGAGGGATGTTGAGCATTTTTTCATATGCCTTCTGGCTATTTGTATGTCATCTTTAGTGAGTGTTCTTTT